ATAATTTTCCTTCCTATTTTCTCTTATATTTCAACAAATACATGTAAAACAATGTGCATCTTGTATTACACACAACTTTAAAAAAGGGCTCCTTGTCTCTTAAATGTGTTATTTACTGTGGGAATAAACTTCTGAGGTGAGAAGTGGAACGGGAAGTTGATCTAAGGAGCTGGAACATCTTTATTTCTCTTTCATATAAAATTTTGTATTTATTTAATTTAGCAAAGACATTAAGTAATAGTGGAAGATTACAGCTGGTTTTTACTTGACCCTTAAATACAGAAGTGAATGAGAGTTCGTTTGTGGTAGCTACTGTACATGGCCATGGATGATGAAGCACTGACCAAAAATAAGCAAGTACTGCCCTATAAAGGCTGCCATGTAATCAAGGTGCAGGATCTCAGCTGTCTGTAGGTCCTCTGAAATAATGGTGTGCTATCACCTGGAAGCATGTAACACAGGAAGAAATTATGCAAATAGAAAAAAATACTGGTTATTTTTCACTTTCACTTGCTGTTACTGAGAATGAATGTAATGCAGTCACCAGATTTTCCACCTTGCCTTTCTGGTAGAGCTGTTGTCTTTTGTGATGTAAGCTTTTTTCATATCTGACCTCTCCTCTGCCTCAATTCCTCTGTTCCCTACTGCTGGGTCTAGCTTTTTTTCTTTTATTTGGCTTAATGAAAGACCATCTGTTATTTATTTATAAATACCTTCTAACATAAACAGTTTTGATGTTTGAAATGCTACAGCTTTCTCTTGTTATAGATGATGATCTAATCCAAGACTTCCTTTGGATGGACTGTTGCTGTGAAATTGCAGATAAGGTAAGCATATTTCCTTCTTCTTTCCTTCCTTTCTTGAATGAGAAATCTGCCCTTAATTACTTGATACTTTAATGCAATACAGAACATCATCTTTTTCTAATAGTTTCACACGGCAGTTTCAAGAAACTTAATTCATGCTTTCCTCATTGTTGAAAACGATGAAAATATCTTGGTGTGAGACGTGTGAATCAATTTAGGAAATATTATGCCTAAATAACACATTGATACTTTATTTTACATTTTAAAACAGTATCTCTTGGCAATGACTTTCGTTTATTTCAAGAGAGCTAACTTCACACCAAGTGAGCATACCAGAATCAATTTCTTTGTGGCTCTGTAAGTACTCTAAAATGATCTAGTTTTATTAGGAAAAACTTTGCATTATTTCTTTATGACACTGATCATTATCTGATGAGACTTCCTTGAGGGAAGTATCTAAACCTGATCTAGGGGATGGCACCCCTAGGGGATGGCAGAGGGGGCTGGGACTAGGTGTTCTTTAAAGTCCCTTCCAATCCAAACCATTCTGTGGTTCTATGGCAATCTACATACAGTACATAAATAGTGCAAATTCACCATTCCTTCTGTGATGGAACCAAGCTTGAGCAGCAGACAGGGGTTGCTTGCATTGGTGTAATGATACAGAGAGTGGCATTCTGCCTACCAAACTGAATCTGGGAGCTTTTTAAAGCTTTACAAGAAATATATGCAGGACACAGCAACATATATGTGGCTCACAGATGCTTGTATAAAACCTTATTTCATATCTCTGCCAGCCTTCAAGGCATTTGTATCAAAACATTTAACCCTGACAGGCATCTCAGGAGTAACTTGTTATTAAAATTTCTGTCAACATTATTTAAATCAACTGTAAAAACAGCTAGAGAATTTCTGAGAACTTTTTTTAACAATTATAAAATGCCTATATTATACTTCGAATCAACAATCCATCTTTACCTACCTGACCCTCTGTAATTTGGCTATACCTGCAGAGGGTTCTGTGTTTTCTGTCACAATGTTATGGTGCTCTGGTCATCTTTTCCTGTAACATCACTTCTCAGATGCTCTGATTTGCACACTACTGCAGGGGCAAAGGTGGCTGCTCCTTCTCCTGTCACTGATACTGGGGGTGACACCCACAGAGCACAGAGGAGGGAGCCCTCTGACTCCAATGAAGGGGGAAAAGCCAGGCCAGAACAGTGAAAGGATTAGAAGGGGACAAAGGGTCTGGTGAGACTGGACTAGAGAGAATACTGGGGTCAGGAGCAAGTGAGAAAACTGGAGAGGAGACTAAAAGTCCTAATTTTTTCAAGTGTGTTTAGTAATAGGTGGATTCAGAGGAAGTAAACATTTTCATGTTGTCTGAGAAGACAACCCAAAACCAAAAGTAACAGATCTGTCAACAAAGGGAAGAACAGAGACCTTAAAAAAAGTAATTTAAGTTTTTCATTTATAACTGAAGCTAGACCTGTATTTAGTTGTTTGCTCCTAATTTAATATGAGCAATGTAATTTTCCAAGCATAGCTAAAACCCTTAAAATATAAAAAGGTAAAGTTTAAGATTTCACAGGATAGTTTTAAGCCTTATTTAAAGAATCAAACAGAAACTGTTCATTTTAGTTCAAGGGTTTCTTGCCAGCTTGGAGAAATGTGTCAGAATGTGTTAGATAAAAACTCTAGGGTAAAATAATTTTTATAAAAGCTTAGGCTTTTTTACCCAAAGGATGCCTATGGAACTAATTAAGAAAATACTGTGTTCCAGAGAGAAGGCTGTATTTTGTTAGTGTTTTTTCCTCACAATACTAGGAAAAAAGAACCACTGCAATATGTCTGTTATTTTATGTTAGAAATCATTATAGTATAGTAGTTTAAGACTGTAAATATTATTCAAACATAAACATATATATATATATTTGAAGGTATCTGGCAAACACAGTTGAAGAAGACAATGAAGAAGCAAAGTATGACATTTTCCCATGGGCTTTGGGCAAAGCCTGGAGAAAGCTCTTCCCTGATTTCTTAAATTTAAGAGATCAGCTGTGGAGTAGAATTGACTACAGGGCTATTGTAAGCAGACGCTGCTGTGAAGAGGTAGGGAGGGAGATTTCATATTGTAGATGCCGAAATCACGACAATTAACACCAGCTAGCATTTTAGCTCTGTACAGTTTCTTCCCTAAAGTAACCAGACAATCCATGGGAAAGCAAAGATGCTGTTAAAATGTAATGGTCCATTTATCCTCCATGATATTTTTTCCTTCTCCATTTGAAATACATTGTTTGAAATTGTTTTTTAAGTAAACTAAAAATTTTCTATTGCATTACTATAAAAAGTGAAGTTTCTATTGGCCAGAATCTGCTTCATGGAAGTATTTTTTTTTATTTTAAACCTATGTTCCTTTGTTTCACTTCATGTACTTTAGAAATAATTTTGTGTGCTTAACAATTTATAAGGAAAACATATATTCCTCACTTTTCAGGTGAAGTGTTTACCTGGAAAAACCCTTGTCATGCTTTAAGTACATAGTGTTTACTTCCAGATGGTGGAAAAGATTTACTCTATAGGCCCATTTCTGGGGATGGGATTAGATGCTATGGGAAAAGGAAAAGGAACAAGGCAAGTGCAGGATGCTTTTCCTTGCACCCCCTTCCCGCTTCCCACTGTCATTATTTCAGTGATGATGAACTCTGTCAGTTGATGTTCAGTCACTGGCTGAAGACGTCACCTTGTGTCCAACATGTTTGTGATGACTCCTGTGAACTGGGAGTTGGAGATGTTTCCACACCTGACTGGTATCGGGATTACTTACTCCTGCCTAAGGGAGCAAGCTTTGCAATGGGACAATCTGAGACAGATAAGAGCTGATGCCCATGTCAGCTACATGAATTCCCTGCCACACACTTACTGGATCTCTTGTTTTTAGCCATATGTTTTCCCATTATTTTTACTCTTCCTGATCCCATGGCTGTTCCCACAGGTGATGGCCATTGCTCCAACACATTACATCTGGCAGCGAGAGCGCTCTGAGCACCACAGTGGAGCTCTGAGGAATTACAACAATGAAGTGCAGCTGCCCCGAGGACCCAGTGCTACTCCTACAGATTGCCAGCTCTGCGGTAAGAAAGGCAGATTTGTACGACTCGGATTATCATCCTCCTCCTCATCTACTGACACCTTGGAGATGATGGAATTACATTCATCCCAAAAATTGAAGGACACCTTTTCAAATGAAAAAATGCTCATCGACTCTCCTTCTAACAGAGCGCAAGGTATGGTTTAATGTTGTGAATAATTTTCCATTAGTTTAGGCAATGAGGGGCCATATTTGCCCTTCAGAGTGCTGAAGGGACAGCTGTCTCTCCCTCTCACACATGCAGGTACCTTGGCAGAACTGTGTTTTTACCCTCACAGATTCATTTTCATTTTCACATATTGTATCTTGACTTCCTGGAAGTACCAATTGCTTTACATTGAGTCTCTTCATATTACTTTCATCTGCTACTACTAGATTTTGGATTGCATTCCAGTCGATTTAGGCATTTATTACTACTCTTCCATTATAAATGAAATTGAGAGTCCTGATTAAATACTTATGATTTGCTGGAACAATAAAAATAGTGGTGTGTATAGAGTGCAACCAGGCAACCTGCAGCATGAGTGCTGGAAGGGGACCAAAGCTCTGCCTGTTAACAACTGTTTTGATTTTGAAATAAGCTTTATCAAGTGAACACATTCACTAAATTTCAGTATCTCTTAAAGGTATGCTTTAAGAACTTTGTTCTTACAAAAACCTATAGTCACCAGTTGGAAGCCAGCAAGTATACATTTCAAAAGGCAGCCTTTGATCCCTTATTTTCTTACTAAAATTTTTTTCTCCTTATTTCTGGTAGACTGTCAGAGCCAGTCCAGCAAAAGGCAACCATGGAGCACCCTGAATCAAGATAAATCCATGGACTGGTTTACATGCAATGGAGAATGAAATGCACCTGGTAAGACAGAAAGAGATACTGTGATCTGCAGAACAGTCTGGGGGGCTGCATCACAACACCAGATGTGAGGATTCACTTCAAATTTTTCCCTTTACATAGTGGGAAAAGAGCATTTCAAACTTGTTGTGAGGTAGAAATCAGAGAACTCATTACTTAGGAGTTACACAGCTTGCAAAATGTAGCATCTGCTTTATGTTTTATTTTATTCTGATACAATACACAAATTAGAAGCTATGGAGGCAGCAGCATCAAGAAAGCAGTGGTCGAAACTTTCTCAGCTTGGTAAGGAATGCTAATTAAAAAACAAAAGTTACTACTTTAGTATTTCATTACACAACAATTATTTTATTATTATACGTTTTATTGTTTTATTATATAGGTACATAACAAATGCTAGTACAAAAAAAAACAAACAAAAACAAACCACAAAAAAACCCACCAAAACCAAAAACAACAATAAAAAAATAGGTTTCTTTGAAATAAAAATACCCCTAAACATTTGTCTTACCTGAATGAGCTTCCTGACAGTGGGATGGTCGGGCAATGTAAGGCACAGAGTAGTTTGTTTCACCAGCATCACTGAGTGATTCTGTGACAAGGACATTTTTTTTTTTACTTCATTCCCACAAGTTTAAGACCTACATGCAGACTACAGTAGACAAGGTGCATGTAATATTTTTCCCTGACATGTTTTCTTTTTTTTGTTGTCACCTATCATTATATTCAGTACTCTTTGCTCTAGTATGCATTTTGCAGATCTGTATACTGTATATTTATTTACACCTGTCATATAAATATATAGCATAATTTTTGGATTTGCCAGAACAGCTTAATTTTAAAACAGATCACACTGGCCACCATTTCTCCTAAGTCCATCAGGGTCCTCTAAAGCAGCTATAAGATGACTATAAAGAACTGAATTGTCTTAAAAACCAAAAATTTGAAAACTGTAGTAGAAGAGCAGTCATTCTTTTTTGCAAATTGAAATTTATTTTCTATTTAGCCCAGATTTTAAATACAATATTTAAACTTAAATAACTATTAATAGTCTTTTTTAAACCTGATAAGGTGTATGCTGTCTAAAACCTTGCCTATTCTCAGCTGACCTAAGAAAAAACAGTCTTCTCCTACCCTGGATTATCAAAGTGCAGTAATAGAGTATCTCATCAGCAGTAAAGTTCTTACCATTGTATTTGCTTTCTTTAAGAACTGCTTGATCCTGAATGTGGATTTCTTCGTATTCATTTTGAGGTGATTCTTCAATATTTTCTTGAGTTTCCACCATTTGGCTTGATTTATAATGCTTGAGTTTAGCAGGGAGTACTGACCAGCTTCTGTGAGTTACCTCAATTATCCTTTCACACAAAAAAGGAAGTTTGCAGCTCCGTATTCTGTCTAAAAGCTCAATGACCTGTGTGATACTTTTGAAGAAATACAAACAAAAAGTAGTATTTTGAAAACTCAAATCACAAAATCTCAGCTCTACTGACTTTGGCACATTCTTTACCTTTGAAGTTACACAGGTCCTTCAGTTTTAGGGTAAAGGAGCAACCTGACTATTGCATTGGAGAACAGTGCGGTTACTTTGAGGATGCCGTAAGCCCAAACTTCACTGACCAGAATGAGAACACTCCCCAGGTAGATACTGAAGGATTTGGCCAATTGTAATTTATATTGAGTACAGCTCCCAAAGAAAGTTACATGGGGAAAAAACCCCAACTTTGTTAACCATTTCATTAATGCTGGGTGTGTATTTCAGAAGATGCTTGGTTTTGTGCCAAGGCCAGGTAACGCCTGCATAAAGGTGCCAGAAAGAAACACTTACTTTGCTAAGTACACAGCACACACCCCACCTTGTTTCAGGCTTGGGTGTACAACAGGCAGAGCACACTGAGGGTTCAGCATATCCAAAACTACCTGCAAGAAAAAAATATATTAATGTTTACTGGGAAAACATATGTACATCTATCAGTGTAATACACAACATTGGGAAGAAAGAAAAGGTTATGGAAAAGAGATACATACAACCACTTTTATTGCTGCCTCTCAAAACCTGAGGTGCACACTTACGCAAAATGAAGCCCCCTCTACTTCCAAATGAATTTCTGTTGAAACAGCAACTAGCATTTGACCAACTAAATAGGTCTGTAGGAAGTTAAGCCTCCCAGGCTTAATTAAATCCCATAATCCTGACAGTAATAAAAAAATTTAGACGACTACATTTACTAACACATTTGAATACCTATTTCTCAAATGTGGAAAAAAAAAAAAAAAGAAGATTGTTCAAATGCATAAAAAGAGCACATTATTGTTACAATGTCTAACTTGTCAGTTTCAAAATTAAAAAAACTTCTGTCTTTGGCAATTTATCCATCTTCTGCTAGGAAGCTATTCCGATTGTAGAACAATGGGATATACAATATCTGATCCCTTCTGCACGACTGTTACTTAAAATGTTTTTTGCAATGGTATTTTTATGCTATGTATTATATTCCTTTGCTTGTACCAATTTAAAAATTGGTATTTATTTAAGCATTTGGTAAATAAGTAGTTCTAAGTAGTTTGTCAGCTTGACAGGGAAGAGTGACTACCATGAAACCGTTTTCCCCAGCATGACTCCTTTTTTTAGGAACTCTAGATACAAAGAAGCAGAACAGGTTAGCAAGACACAGCATATTCAAAATTACACAGTAGTTACATTGTGCATTCTATAGAGCTGATAGCAAAGTGGTCACACAGTTACGTATTTAATAAGGTTTTGTGTTCTTCTAAAATTTAATGCTGGAAATATGTACCTCATAAAATTATCAGTTTCTCAAAATGAGTTGGTCTTCGCTTACAAGGCAGGAGTGATTAATTGTAGCACTTCTATAGTACAGTTTTATCAGTGTTTCATTTGACAACCTGTAACTGAAACCTTGAAAACACTTGTATCTGACAAAAAATTACAATGTTTCTTTCACTGATGAGGAAGTGGATTATTATTTCTCATGTTACACTTGATATGGGAATCCTGTTGTGAGTGTGAGCACAAGAGGTTTCCATTTATGGAGAAAAGACGTGTCAAATGGGGGAGTTGTTTGGATTCACTCACTGCATCAAGTGTTACAGATTTCATATCTGCAGCAGCTGTTGAAATGTCTTTAAGAATGAACTCCACGTTATCTGGCCATTTGTCCACGTGTCCTATTTCCCACGCAGAACGCCAGCGCCTGTAATTCTTCTTAGCTAAACTATGATGATCATCTCTGATTTCATAACTTAGAACACGTCCTTTGGGCCCAACTGAAAACAAACAGAAGACACTCCACTCACCATTTTACACTGCTGCTTTAAAGATCTGGGAAAGACAAAACAAAACAAAAGCAAAACCCAGTCTATAACATAAGTACACCTTTCCATCTCCACTTTAGGAAATTATATCATATGAAACAATCATCGACAATCTATGTTTCCTTTAAATTTAAAACAAACATATGCAGAAAAAGTGCCGTGTTAGTATCCTTCTGCTAGAGCATCCAGAGGTACCAGCTGAGAATGCTGCACCAGTGCTCACGGCTCACAGGCTAAGGAAACCTGCTCACTGACCTCAGCCCCACAGACAAGTTTTCCAGCGTACTCTTTGATTTACCCATGTTTGTGTAATTTTCCTGTTACTGTCTGCAACAGTAATAAATTATTAAGTCTAAATTTACTATTCTGAAATTTACCATGAGTCCAATATACAATGTTTCTCAAAAAGGAAACATTTCCAGGCTGTGCAGGCAGACAGCAGTGCACTGCCGTATTATTCCGTATTTGCATTACTCCAATTTTTCAAGCCTATTCCACCGCTCACTCCTGTCTCCCTGCTGCTTTGGAATGGCTGCAGGGAGCTTTCAGAAAGCAGCAGCTCCCTGGGTGAGTTCTGTACCTTTCTAAGCCATTTCACTTTGCAGTTACCAGGCTCCTTCCCTCACCTATGTGATCCCACTGTGAATCCATTCTCAGACCAGTGAGTAAAAGAAGGGATGAATTTCCGAACTGTCGCTCCTTGATCCTGCATAAGAAAAAGGCTAGAACCAGCTTGTAAGAAACTGAAGGTTTCAGCATGTTGCCTTTGATCACCTGAATCAGTTGCAGAGTCACAGTGCCAACTCCTTGTTACTTCAGATTATCAGTTTAGAAACATCAGAAAAATAAAATTCTTCACACTGGGGGTGTCAGTCATACCCTCACTCATTCAAAGTAATTCCTTCTTTTTGAAATTGCTTTTTTTTAAAATAACAACATGGTGAAATAGCTAAGCAAAACTTAATTATTGTGGAGCTACAGTATGTCAAGTTTGCAGACATCATATTTTCCAGTTCTCAAAGATTTTAAAGTCATGGTAAATACCACTCTCTTAACTTTATCCTGTTTCATGTCAGTAGTTTCTGGGAATGATTAAAGAAAGAATGGAAAAGAAAATATCAAATTAATAACAAGAAATGAGTGAAATCTGTTAAATCAACAAGAATTTTGGAAATTAAATAATTCTGTGGACATTGGTAATGTGTCCACTAGATCTGAATTCCAGCATTTACCCACATAGCAGCTGTTTTCCTTGTTGGGTATCGCTGGTGTGTATTTAATGGTGGCAAAATCAGCCACCATTTGGAAACAGCAAATCAAATCTATTTATTTCTGTCTCAGCACCAAAGTATGTTCAGCTGTGACTAAAAGTGGATGTATTTGGTGCCCATTTTAAATTCAATAAATTTGAAAATAGCAATGCAATTTCAAAGCTTTTTCCCACTCCTCAAAATAGAGCTGATCTGGCATGCAACAACTGCATTCTTCCCCTGGATAGGGTTAACAGCCTGGTAACGCCAATGATTTTACCAACTTGGCCCATTTACAGCTGAATTAAAGTGTTGGACAAGATTGAAAAATGAGAAGAATAATTGGCAAGTTCTGGTGTGCTTATATAAAACAGTGGAATACCTAAGGCAGAAAAATCAGTTGCTGTATTTAGTGAGAGCTAACTTTTGCCTTAGCCAGTTACAGGTATTCCATCTCTGGGTTTTGGATCTGCCTGTAGAGCAAGGTAAGGAAAGCTAATGACTCTTACTTTCCCTCTCTCTAAATGAAAAGAGAAGCACTGATATTTATCTTCTGTTTGGTCAGCTTCTAGCTCCTACAGCAGCAATGGTTGCTTTGAGGATAATCCCATGTTAGTTTCAAAATCCCAATGGAATGAAAAACCCTAAACGCTAGTTTATTCCAGAAGAATGATCAGAAGAAACCAAGCAATAGCAATAGTAGGAGGTAGGAGAGAGGGAGCACAGGTACAACTGCTGACCTTGAAATTTGGGCCCAAAATATCAAGACCAGCTGCAGCTGAGACATCTTAAGGCATGGCTGAAACGAAGCTTTCTGTGAGGCCTTCAGTAACCACTTACACTACAGCCCTCTAAGCACAGTCAGAATGGTTTGAAGTCTGTGCTGATGTAACTCTCTCTCAAGTCAACGAACTACACATAAACGTGTGAACTGCAGTAAAGCTTTTATGAGCTGAGTAGTAAGGACCATAAGAGAGCCATAAGCATCTAGAAAAAAAAAAAAACCAACAAAAAACCCTCCAAGTTGTGGTAAAGAAATAAATTCTGTGTTGTCTAAAGCCAGTTTCTCACCTGCTCTTGACAGAAACAAGCTCATTGCACCCGACCCGCTACCACTTTCCAACACGGTGTCTCCTGGGTGGATATCCATCATCATTAATATAGCGCTTATATCCTGCAAGCGAGAAAAACGCGGCACATTACTATTTGCGAAAAATTAAAGGTGAGAGTCGGCCAGCGACCTCCCAGCCCCGGCCGATACCTTGGGGTAGGCGATGGTGGGTCCCCGCGGCATGAGCAGCACGTATTCGTCCAGCGAGGGCCGCCTCAGCAGCAGCCGCGCCCCGCTCGACGCGAGCAGCACCTGCCCAGGCAGCTGCCCGATGATGTCGCGGTGGGGCAGGACACCGCCGGGGCTGCTCAGCACCGCCTCCGCCGCCAGCCGGCACAGCAGCTTCAGCGTCGTGTTGTGCTTCCTCCGCACCACCGCCAGCGCCAGCTCCCCGGCGCGGAAAGGGCCGGAACGGGGACACACCGCCTCAACCCGCGCTTGACAGGAGGCGGCCGCCGCCACCTCCTCCTTCTTCTCCTCCTCG